CTCTTTTCCTCCCGGAATTCCACTCTCTCTAAAAATCAATGGAAAAAAATATCCTTGGATGAGGATTAACAACAACAACAACAAAAGTTCAGTGACCAATACTTTGGCCAAATTTCTGGGACCCAGATGAACACATTAGGCAAATAAAAACCTATAGTATCTAAGGCCCCTGTGAAAGTTACGTTTCCGTGAATTGAACTAGTGGTCTGAGGAAGGCTTGAGGTAGAAAGGGGGGTTGGGAAAGACAAGGGGACCAGATGTGAACATAACCAAAAACAGTGCAGTTGGCACTTCAGAGCACCTTTGTTGGCAAACTTAGCGTAGAGCCAGAGATTTAATGGATCAAAACACAAAGCCACCCTCTGATGACTAAAGACAGCACACATGAAGCACGCAGCCAGGGAAGGATTAAGCAAATGTAAGCTATTATTTTATCAGCAGCACATTTCTGATGGACAAGCACAGTGATAAATGAAGGGAAAACTTAGTCGTAGCATGTCAGACATGGAGGGGAGTGTGGGAGGGACTTCATCCACCAGGCCCCCCGCTTCCACACTAGCACCAGCTTCCCCGCAGTGGCACCCATGCCCTGGGGCTCCAGCCAATCTGACTGGCTGGTCACTCTGGACTTTCTCTTTAGAGTCTGCTTTCCCACAGAGGGGGGACTTTGCCCCTCAGGAAGCCTGTGTGCATCTGTGTTGTGGAGGCTTGCAGTGGTCAGCTGCGTGGAGGCCTGTCTCATTTGGAGATGGACCAGTAGAAACCCCATTAACACTGTACACCTGAGCCTGTCCTCAGTCCAGCTTCTGTCAATAATAAAACCTTTCTTTTGTTCTCCTGTCTCTCAATTGGTTCTGAACTCAGGAGGACAAGAGAGGGGTTGTGTTTGCCCCATCCCCTAACCCCTAACAGGGATACCGAAGTCCTATCTTCCCAGAATCCCCACTTCACTTGCCATGTCCTCCTCCATCACAATTACGGATGCAAGAGGCGTGAACAGCCATCTCAGCTGCTTCTGGGCAGCAGGGAGCACGCACAGGGGACGCTTGCTGCCCGCTCCCCACTCGGATCTCTGCGGATGTGGCTGGGGGACAGAATAGCAGACGTCTTTCTCTGTCTTCCCCTAGCCTTCCTCAGGCACACATTTTCCAACTGCACGCCTCTCACAGCGAATCAGGCCGTGCGGTGCGTGCAGAGTAGGGTGCTCCTTCCCAGGAAGAAACTGAGACGCTCCCTCCACGCCACACCCCCAGCGAACTCTGCATTCTACAGAGAAGGATGGTTCTGCCCACAGAAACGTACTTAGCCAACAGGCACGGCACCTCCAGGCTCAAAGGTAGTGCCTCAACTCCTGTTTTCTGTTACAACGTGAATCACTCCAATTGGCAACAGTGACTCAGTCCTGGCACTGACTCTCCAGGTGAGAGTGGACCAGACTCCGGGTGGGGCAGGGGTGTTATGTACAATTTTTAAAAGTCCCCAGGTAAGCCTCTGAATCACCTCTCCAGGGGGTTCGGCCCAGATGTGAATCCAGGTCTTATAACTCAGGAGGCATGAACAAGTCCCAGCTTCATTATTTTATCTATAAAATGGAGATAATAAAAACTATCTGTCATACAGGCTTATCCTCAGAACTAACCAAGATGACATTTAAATCAAGACTTTCCTGGATTTCAAACAGCCAATGGCTTCTGCATCAATTCAGGATAGGCTAGGATATGCTGCAATAACACACAATCCCAGTATCTTAGTCGCTTAACACAAACAAGTTATTTGTCACTCATACCAAGTCTACTGTGGATCCAAGTGACTACCCAAGGCACCTGTCCTCCATACTCAGAAATCTGGCTAATCAGAATTGCAAAATAAGGCCTACTGTGGGATTTCAGTGACAGGGGAAGAGGGCACTAGGTCTCACAAACCATTAAATATTCCCACATGAAAATAACATATGTCACTTCTGTCTACATCTCTTCTTCCCTCAGGAGTGCATAAGTAAAATTCAAAAAGCAATCTAGGATACTCTATATAGCTCAGGGAATACAGCCCAAAATATGGAAGTTACTAAATAAGAAGTGGAAATTACCTCCCTTCCTCCAAAAAGCAAAATGTAGGCAATAAGACATGCCCCTCGGAAGAGAGGGCTCGAAGGCTTTGTCTTCTAAGGACACCAGCCACCACCATCACTGCAAAAGCAACCTGGCCAAACAAAACCGACACAAAAGGAATTTGTCCTACGAGCATATCTTATCTGGCTTTCAAGGATGAGCTAACAACCATCTGTCCCATGATGCTGGGCGCTCTCCACCAGAGGGTACTGACTTAGTGACGACCTGTAAACGGGAAAATGATTAAACTGAGCTGGATGTAAAAGCTCTAGAATGAAGCGCGATATCACATGACATGACTAGCACACGCCTGTGCCAGTACGTGCAGTCCCCTTCTCCTCTTTGGCTCTCGAAGCCAGAAACAGCTGAACTTCTGGGAAAGCTGCAAGTGAATACCTAATGGCCTATACTGACTTTTAAAAAGTTTAAACTGATTTTCTCTGATCGACTCTGAAATAGAAGCAATTGCTACCGAAGTTAACAGAGCCCTGACCCAGCAGGATTCACATAACCCAAGGGCCTTGTGTCCGATGCTCCTGAGAAGGCTGCCCCACCAATGCACTGCTAACAGCAGTCACTGGAACCAAAGCAGCAGAGTGGACTACAAAGGAAGCCATCAAACAAGCAACTTCTTTTGATTAAGTTGTATTTTTGACTAAATAAGCACTGAAATCCAAAGTTAAAAGGTGTAGAAAGAAAGTACTGGATCTGAAGCTTCTGTTGACTTAACCAGATAAACAAAAATATTTCACCTGACTTCACAGAGGATTTCATAGGCATTTATTTTATTTTATTGTTCTTTCCGTGTAAACAATATGCCCACATTTCTACCTCTCAGCTCTCGTTCCCTCCCAGAGGGCTTTTCCTGCTTTGAGTAATCACAGTTTGGTTTAGTTTCTCAGCAGGGATGACTCACAGTCCCAGTGCTTGGAATAAGGGCATCATTCTGCTCCCTCGAGTGTCTGTTTTCCAGCAACATCCCAAATACAAACCTAAAGTCAGCCTCGGACAGCGAGAGGGACCTCTCTGCTGCCAGGTCACTTGGCGAGCAGGCCTCTGGCTTCACTTCTGTCCAGGCTCCCACCGCAATTGTGAAGGTGGAGGCTGGCATTGGCATGGTTACGTAGTAATGCCAGCTTGAGCACCCTATAAACAGAAAGAGAAAAATCACAATGAGACCCATGTATGTATGGTTCCAGACCTCACTTGTATCTTTTCTCTTCAGGCCGTTGAAGAACTTGTGTCCTAAGATGGTATGAGCCAGTTCTTGGAGGTGGGCCATGTCAACTGAAGGGGCACTATTCCAGGTCTCAGGAAAAGAGATGATAGTTTCAGGGCAACCAGGGAGGTTTGGATCTATTCCAAGCATCAGTTTGAAGCCATTCAAGTGAGGCTATAAGTATGAGGAATGGGGGACCAGCCCAATATATTAACAGATAAAAAGAATGAGGAATATAAAAAGACCTGAAGTTCCACAGTTAATTGGTGGTTGAGGTGGTCACTAACAGCTGCAAACACAAAAAAGTATAGGTTGTATGCTTCTAGAGAGGCCAAAACAATATCTTATTCATCCTATTGCCTCACACAGTACTTGGCATTAAAAAAAAATGCTCAGTTGAATGAATGGATGGATGATTAATGAACAAATGAATTGTCACTTCTATTCTGCTAAACTATTTTGTCTGAATTTAATTCAAGCCCATCTAAAATGGATAGATATAGCAGAATACAATGAGACTAAAGAAAGGAGAGACCTAGGTTTTAGTCCCAACTCTGAAGCTAATTAACTGTGGAAGTTCAGTCTCATACTAGTATTCCTCATCCTTTTTATCTGTCAGTATATTGGGCGGGTCCCCCATTCCTCACTGAGCAGATGAAAAGCAGGCCTGGGAAGGTTCTGTGGAGCCAAGAGTGCCAGCTAGTTGGAGCAAGGCTGGACTTACAGTTGGGGCTCCCCACCCAGCCAGGGGTGTGCCCCCAGTTAGTACACACCTTAGAGAAGGCTTTTACCAAGGAATAAATGATCGATAACGTGTAACACTATACTCCCTTACTCTGAGATAGGAAAATGACTTTCATGTTTCTGAAATCTGAATGTGTCATACAACCTGATTTTACATAGTATTTTTCTCTGAGCATCTGCTATAAATTGATGGTATGTGTTAAGAGGAATTACTATCACCTCATATTATGGAACACAGTTCTCCACTTCTCATGCTCCTCGTGTTCCATAATAGTAACACAACCTAGCCTCTCTCTCAGCCCCTCACTAACTCCATGGCAGGAGCTATTCTTCTTTCTTGTTTTAAGTGTCAGAGGGTTAGCCCTAGGTGCTTTGGATAGAGCGTCAGCCTGCAGACTGAAGGGTCCTGGGCTCAATTCTAGTCAAGGGCACATGCCTGGGGTTGTGGGCTCAATCTCCAGTAGGGGGCATGCAGGAGGCAGCCGATCAGTGATTCTCTCTCATCATTGATGTTTTTCTCTCTCTCCCTCTCCCTTCCTCTCTAAAATCAATAAAAAAACATATTTTTTTAAAAAGTTTTAGTCCGGTAGGCATGGCTCAGTGGTTGAGCGTCTGAGCCATGGAAGTCATGGTTCAATTCCCGGTCAGAGCCCATGCCTGGGTTGCAGGCTTAATCCCCAATGTGGGGCATGGAGGAGGCAGCTGATCGATGATTCTCTCTCATCACTGATGTTTCTATATCTTTCTTCCTTTCCCTTCCTCTATGAAATCAATAAAAATATATTTTAAAATGAAGTTTTAGAGGGTTAAACACTCATGGAGTGGGCTGTGGTGTCCAATTTGGTTAGTAAGTGGATAAGAAGTCATATTCAGGGTCCAAATGTTAACATGCCCACATTGGCCCTCAGAGCTAACATGACATTTTTCAAAGTACTCTACCAGTAAAAAACCAATAATAAAGGTTAGATTCTGACCTCCATATGCTTGGCTTCTGTATCTCTCAACTAGTTCTGAACTCAGGAAGGTAGAGAGTCATTATTTATTATCCTTAGAAAATGACAACTTAAATCCAAAAGAATATCCTGCAGAACTCCTCTAATGAAAAACAAAATTTTAAGTACAAAACAAAAATAAATGATATCAGCTGAATAAAAAATGATATGATATCAAGTTTGGAAGTCATTAGAGGAAATGTTTGAATGAGGAATATAGAAGGACATACTCAGAATGGCTGGGAACACATCACAGAGGTATCCATTCTCTCAAAACTGGTTATACCTTTCATTCTCTTCTGGAGTCAGAATGTCACTCTTAAAATCACTCATTCCACATCTGACTAAGAAGCTGAAGGCATGCTCCTCTTTTTTTTTTTTAATCTTTATTGTTGAAAGTATTACATATGTCCCCACCCCTCCCCTCCCCCCAACTCCTCCAGCCCATCCCCGCCTCCGGCCCCAGGCCCTCACCACCCCACTGTCTGTGTACATGGGTGCTCCTTTTTTATTTTTTTAAATAGCTTTATTTTTTTAATTGATTTTAGAAAAAGAGGAAGGGAGAACAAGAGAGAAAAGCATCAATGCATCAATGTGAGAGAGAAACATCAAACAGTTGCACCAGTAAGCACCTCGACCTGGATCAAATCCAAAATCTGGGTATGTACCCTGACCTAGAATCAAACCCATACCCTTCAGTGCACAGGATGATGCTCCAACCAACAGAACCACGCCTGCCAGGGCAAGGCATGCTCCTCTTTAAAGATGAGGGACTTCGAACAAGATGGCAGGGTAGGTAAACATGAAATAGGTACTTCCCTCCTCCCAGCCACATCATAATTAAAACTAAACTATAGAAAACCACCATTCCTTTCAGAATGCCTGAAATCTGGCTGGTTGGAAGCCCTACAACTAGGGACTTGAAGAAGAAGCCAAATTGAGACTGGTAGGAGGGGTAGAGACATGGAACAGGCTGGTCCCACACCCACATATGGCAGAGAAAAATCATTAGGGATATCTTGGCTGCAGAGATCCCCCCTGAATTCCCCGCTGAGAAGTGATGGGTCGCAGCCCCACACCAGGACCTCAGCCCAGGGTACCAGTGCCAGGAAGAGAAGTCCCCATAACTTCTGGCTGTAAAAATCAGCCGAGGATCATGGCTGAATGACATGAAGGCTGCTGGAGTCCCTGACAGTTCCTTTTAAAGGGTCCACACGCAGACTTACTCAGACTCATTCCCTCTGAGCTCTAGTGCTGGGCAGCAAATTAAAGGGCAACAGAGGCAGATGGGGAGGCACTGAATTGTTTGTTGAGCAAGAGCTGAGGGAAAGGGCAGCTTTCTTCCAGACAGATGTGCTGGCAAAAGCCATTGTTCCTTTGATGAGCCCTCCCCTTACAGAGCTGGCAGTCAGAGTCTCCATCAACCTGGCTAACACTGTTTTCCCCACCCTAGTGATTTCCTGAGGCTCTGCCCCACTCAACTTTCAAGCCCACCCAAGCTGTTTCCAGCGGCTTTTCCATACCAAAGGCCTGTCTTGGCTACTGTTTCAGTTTTTCCTAAAATCTCTCAAACAAGCAGCATCAGGCCTTGGTTCAGAGCTTGGCCTCTCCTGGGCACTTCCAAGCCCAGAACAAGTACCAGCCATCTGCTGACTGCTTTGTAGCTAATGCTGGGTGGCCCTGGGCAGTGGCTGACCTTGAATTGCACTTCCCTGGAGATCCCAGAGCCAGTGCACCCAGTGAATAGTTTCAGACCATGATGAAGCATCATTATCCAACCACTTTCATTAGCTACACACATAAAAGGCAGACTCAGTGGGCAGCAGAACCCTTCTAAAGTAAGTCCTTCTCTGTGGGGTGGGCCATAGCACAACTGATCATCCATAGTGGTCAGAGGTTGATGGTTGGTGGTCACAGACAGTTTTTGCAGCTGATTGACCTGGGGGTAAATCCCTCCTATTGACATGCCAACAGTAATCAAGGCTCAAGTATAAGAGAAGGGTTACACAGCCCACATGGGGGCACACCTTGAGTGTCCAGCTTAGGAGATTGTGGAAGCTATGCCACTGGGCCATATGGGACACCTACTATATTAGGCCACTCTACCCAGTCTGGGAGATGTAGCAGCTCTATCTCATACACAGAAACAGACACAGAGAGACTGCCAAAATAAGGAAACAAAGAAATATGCCCTGCCCTAACCAGTTTGGCTCAGTGGATAGAGCATCAGCCTGTGGACTGAAAGATCCCAGGTTCGATTCCGGCCAAGGGAACGTATCTTGGTTGCGGGCACATCCCCAGTAGGAGGTGTGCAAGAGGCAGATGATCAATGTTTCTCTCTCATCGATGTTTCTAACTCTCTATCCCTCTCTCTTCCTCTCTGTAAAAAATCAATAAAATATATATTAAAAAAAAGAAAAAGAAAAAAAGAAATATGTCTGAAAAGAAACAAAACTTCAGAAAAATAACTAAAAAAAATGGAGACAAGTAATCTACTAGACGCAGAGTTCCAAACACTGGTTATAAGGGGGCTCAAGGAACTTAGTGAGGACCTTAACAGCATAAAAAAGGACCAGTGAGAAATGAAGAATAACTTACAGGGAATCAACAGTAGAATGGATGAAGCTGAGAATCAAATCAACAATTTGGAATATAAGGAAGCAAAAAACACTCAATCAAAACAGTAAAAAGAAAAAAGAATCCAAAAACATGAAAATAGTGTAAGGAGCCTCTGGGACAACTTCAAGTGTATTAACATTCACGTCATGAGGATGCCAAAAAGGGAAGACAGAGCAAAAAATTGAAAATCTATTTGAAAAAGTAATGACAAAAAACTTACTTAATTTAGTGAAGGAAATAAACATACAAGTCCAGGAAGCACAGAAAATCCAAACAAAATGAACCCAAAGAGGCCCACATCAAGAAACATCATAATTTAAATGCAAAAGGTTAAAGATAAAAAGAGAATCTTAAAGGCAGCAAGAGAAAAGCAGTTAGTTACCTACAAGGGAGCTCCCATAAGACTGTCATCTGATTTCTCAACAGAAACTTTGCAGGCCAGAGGATAGGTAAGAAATATTCGAAGTGATGAAAAGTAAGGATCTACAACTAAGATTACTCTACCCAGCAAAACTATCATTTAGAATGGACAGACAGATAAAGAGAATCCCAGACAAGAAAAAGCTAAAGGA